AGCGTGTCAAAGCAGAGTTCCTGGCTCCTAAGTGGAAAAACGGGTCCCTTCTGCCTTAGGAACATAAGAAGAACTTGGTTAGATCAAGTCAAAGGTCCACCAAGTCTTTCAGCCTGTTCTCACAGTGACCAACCGGATGCCTTATGGCAGCCTTTCTCAACCTGTGGGTCCCCAGATGTTGTTGAACTACAACTCCCATCACCCTTAGCTAGCAAGGCCAGAGCTCAGGGATGATGGGAGTTGTAGTCCAACAACATCTGGGGACCCACAGGTTGAGAACTGCTGCCTTATGGGAAGACCAAAGGCAGGACTGCGACAACACTCTACCCATGAAATTCCTCGTATCCAGGAAAATGGTTTTCCTCTGAAGGAAAAGCATAGCCATTGTGGCTAATAGCCTTACCCTCCATGAATTCGTCTAATCCTCTTTTAAAGCCATCAAAAGTGGATGCCCATACTTCAGTGAAGGCCAGGAGAAAGCCTCATGTGGTTAACTTCTCCCACTGGGGTAGGAGATTCCCGTTCAGAAAATGTAGGCAGCCAGGGAGGCTGCAAAGTGCTGAAGAAAGACTTAATCGAAAGAAAAAGGCGCACACCATGCTTGACTACTTTGCAACAATAAAATAAGCTCCAAGCACCACATCCACCAAAATTCCAAATAAATGCTAAGGTGCCCTGAAAATGAGCCACATCATAGTAATATTTCTATTAATACATTAATAATAATAATGTTTCCGTATCCAACACATCTATACAGTGGAGCCACGTTAGTAACCTAGGGAGTAATTAAATACAGTGGTACCTCGCAAGACAAATGCCTCGCAAGACAAAAAACTCGCTAGACGAAAGGGTTTTTTGTTTTTTGAGCTGCTTCGCAAGACGATTTTCCCTATGGGCTTGCTTCGCAGGACGGAAACGTCTTGCAAGTTGGTTTCCTTTTTCTTAACACCGTTAATACAGTTGCGACTTGACTTCGAGGAGCAACTCCTAGAACGCGGTGTGGTAGCCTTTTTGAGGTTTTTAAAGACTTTGGTGATTTTTGAAGCTTTTCCAAAACTTTCCCGACACCGTGCTTCGCAAGACGAAAAAAATCGCAAGACGACAAAACTCGCGGAACGAATTAATTTCGTCTTGCGAGGCACCACTGTATAGGAGTCATTAGTTATATTCTTTACATCCATTGGAATGCACTCTTGAGAGCTTCCAACCATCTTTGAGAGAATTCATTGTTTATTTACGAACCACTTGGCTTCTCAAGCATCTATATAATTTTTGAAAAGAGGGAGGGGGAAAAGATATTGCTGAATAGTCTGGACAATAATTGTTTTAAGGTGGGTCAACCACATTCCGCTTGCCTGCAGACATATCCAGACAAAACAATTACTCCAAAAGAGTGATGTGCTCAGACAGTAAATAATGTTAAAATCTCAGTTTTATCCCCTAGTTTATCTGTAAGTGGAAATGGAAATGAAATATAGGGCATTAAGAAAAGTCGGTGAGTGAAAGAAGCTGAATGGGTCTCCGTGCTTGCACAGAGTATAGTCATACCTCAGGTTACAGCCGCTTCAGGTTGCGTTTTTTTGGGTTACAGACCGCCAAAACCTGGAAGTACCGGAATGGGTTACTTCGAGGTTTTGGCGTCGCGCATGCGCAGAAGCGCTAAATCACGCTTTGCGCATACGCAGACCAAATCGCAACCCGCACGTGTGCAGACGTGGGTTGTGAACGCTGTGGGTTGCGAATGTGCATCCTGCACGGACCACATTCGCAACCCGAGTGTCCACTGTACTTCAAGTATTGCCGAACTTTTTCAGCCGGTGGGCACATTTTTTAAAATTTGACTGAGCGCCATGGGCACCAACTGCTCTCCACACTTCATCCTGCCTCCTGTATAAGCCCTCTTCCCAAGAGACTATATAGGCTCACATTCTGCTTTCCTGTGGGATCTGGGTAAAAGCATTAATCAGATCTTTGAAAACTGCTTGGAGGTAAAAGAGGACATGAGAAAGAGCATCACTTTCCCAACTTCCTCCTTCGTGTACTTTTCATGGGAAGGAAGGTAAGTGCCCTCAACACCTCCTGACTGCGGTGGCAGTGTTGGGCAGGTAAGAGATGTTACGGGCACCAGGGAAAGACTTCAAGTCTTCCACTGAACCCACAGGCATCACAGTGGTGACCACATTGGTAATCTCTGGGGCACACATATGAGATACATCTTTTGCTCTTTCTCACGCCCTTCATCCTACACACTGGATTCTCATGGGACAATTGACCATAGTCAAGCCAGGCCCAGGGTCCCACTTGGTAGAATGAGTAGTAGGGCCCCCAAACTCAGCATGGTTGGCTTGCCTCAATTTTAAGTAAGCGAGTTAAGGAGGGGGCATAACACCATTTGAAGTAAGCAAGATTTTACCACCCAAAGACGTCCCCCACCTAAGAACATTAAGTCCAGAGTCTAAAATTACATAACTGCACTGCTGATTGGCCATGAACTACAAGTCCCTGTAATCATATTGTGATGTATCATAGACCACTGACTCAATTAATTTCACAGTTCAGCTCTAAAAAAACAGCAGCTATTTCCTGAGGTCTTAAGGGGAAATTCCCCGTGGTGGTTCAGTGCATAGCTGGTATCACATTATCTATCCCCTTCACCACTATCAAAAAACGCCCCCAACCAACAGGGGTAGCCAAGTTAGAGCCTTCTAGATGCTGCTGGACTCACATCAGCCCCAGCCAGCATGGCCAATGGTCAGAGATGATGGGAGTTGTAGTCCATTGACTTTGGGAGAGCACACAACTTACATTATCCTCAGTGTTGTTGGACGCAACTCCCACCATCTGTGACTATAGGCCATGCTGGCTGGGGGTGATGGGAATTGCAGTCCAACAACATCTGGCAGGTACCACATAGTCTACCACTGCAAAAGAACATCACAAGAAGCCCCAAAGCAGGGTTTGAAGGCGACAGTTCTTCTCCACAGAAGGCCACCAGCAACTGGTATTCCACAACACACTATTGCTTAAACATGGAAGCTCCATTTAGCAGATGAAGCTATCATCCTTGAGTTTAACACATCATTTCCTTTCTCATTAAATGTCAATATCATAGGCCAACACTGAATTTGTCCAAAGTTTTCAGTGCACACAATTTATTCAGCATCACCTTCGACAGTCGCATGCAACTCAATCCTACTTGAACCAAACTCAACAAGTAGTTTGTATCACTGTGTGAATCCAGTCCTAAAAGAGTATTTTAGGTTTTTAATCAAATCAATGCTCAGGATCTGCAAAAAAGAATCCAGTCAACAACAACCAAATTAAAATCCACACCGCTATTGCTGCTGATCTTCTACAATGTTGTTTTTATTAAATTTCCACAGTTAATATAAAAAACCCTCAAATTTTGACCTACTTATTCAAAGCTATCCACCTGTCTCCCTGCAAAAAGATAAAACAAAGAAATGTTCATGGTGACAGTGGCCATGTACAGACATAACACTAAACCTTGATGTTAGGAATGAGCCTAGCTCACACTGTGTCCAGGGCAGCTGTTTACCAGCTCCATTTGGTACACTGACTGAGACTCTACCTGCTTGCGCACTGTCTCGCCAGAGTGGTACATGCTCTGGTTATCTCCCGCTTGGACTACTGCAATGCACTCTACATGGGGCTACCTTTGAAGGTGACACAGAAGCTACAATTAATCCTACAATTAATCCAGAATGTGGCTGCTAGACTGGTGACTGGGAGTGGCCACCAGGAACATAAAACACCAGTCCTAAAAGATCTACATTGGTTCCCAGTATGTTTCCAAGCACAATTCAAAATGCTGTTCATAAGATTGTGTTTCCACATTTGATTAACCAGAAGTTGTGGCATTGCCCAAACCCTGATAAACTGTGGTTAATCTGAATTATGGTTTGTCTGAAATAAGTCAGTTTCACACAGCTGGCTTGCTTCAACAAAATATACCTAAGATTAGCCACAGTTCTGAGTTCTGATACAATCCTAAACTGTAGTTAATATAGGAAATGTCAGTTTCACATAATGGTTTAGGAAGCTGGCTTGCTTCAACACAATATACTTAAGATTAGCCATAATTTAAAGTTCTGGTGGAATGCTAAACTATGGTTAATCAAAACTGGAAAACGAAAGCTTCTAACATCCTTTGGGGAAGGGGTGTGGAAACATGCAAGGCAACAGGGATGCTAGTCTTTTGTGATCAGCTCAAATCCAGCCAGCGAGTTCAAGTAAGCATAGACATGAGAAATACCTTCACTGAGGATGTCAGGGAGTATGTCTCCTGGATCTTGTGCAATGGCCGACCTCCTATAGACCATGTGACTCCTCCCTCTCTCTTCATCCATTTGTTTCCCTTTCTCCAACGGCTCAATGAAATATTCATCTTCACCCACTTTGATCATTCCAGCCTAGGCAAAAAGAGGAAAAGAAGTAAGAAGACACCGATATGGGAAGAATCCATTTCCAGATTTGTCATGATAATAAATTGTCGTTGGGATCATTCAACTGTCAACCACTGAATGTAGTACAGTCATACCTCTTGTTACATTCAGTTCAGGTTACGTGTTTTCAGGTTGCGTCCTGCGGCAACCCGGAAGTACCGGAAAGGGTTACGCAGATGCGCAAAATGATGTTACGCACATGCACGGAAGTGGTGAATTGCGAGCCGCGCATGCGCAGATGCGGGTTGTGTTCTTTCAGGTTGTGAACGGGGCTCCGGAACAGATCCCGTTCGCAACCAGAGGTACCACTGTACAAAACAAGGGTGGAGGACCTAACCTTATGCTTGGATGAGGGGTACAGAAATCCTGTTTGAATTGCTCTGCAGAGGAGTGTGGAAATGTTACGGGACAAACACAAGTTGGAGTGTGTGCATCTACAAACTGGCAATCAACTGTCTCCCTGTAATGGGTGCAGATGTAGCAGGACTCCAGTTGGAGTCAGGCTACCCCTGAACTACTGGGTCTGGGCAATTGGGAAACAGGCATCGCTCAGTGGCAGAACATCTGCCTTGCATGTAGAAAGTCTCAGGTTCAATCCCCAGCTTTTCCAGGTAGGGTTGGGACAGAAATCCTGAAATCCTGTAGGGGCAAAATGGAACTAGATGGACCAGTGGTTTGGCCCAGTTTAAGGCAGTTTCCGGGGACGCGGGTGGTGCTATGGGTTAAACCACAGAGCCTAGGGCTTGCTGATCAGAAGGTCGGCGGTTCGAATCCCCGTGACAGGATGAGCTCCCGTTGCTTGGTCTCTGCTTCTGCTAACCTAGCAGTTCGAAAGCACGTCAAAAGTGCAAGTAGATAAATAGGTACCGCTCCAGCAGGAAGGTAAACGGCGTTTCCGTGTGCTGCTCTGGTTCGCCAGAAGCGGCTTAGTCATGCTGTCCACATGACCCGGAAGCTGTACGCCAGCTCCCTCAGCCAATAACGCGAGATGAGCGCTGCAACCCTAGAGTCGTCCACGACTGGACCTAATGGTCAGGGGTCCCTTTACCTTTAAGGCAGTTTCCAATGTCCAGTGTTCAGGTGCCCAATGTACTAAGTGCTATGGGGGAATACGAATTTGAATCTGGATCTTCCCACTCCTGATCCATCATGAAAACCACACTGTCTTGAACAGTCGGGGGGGAGAAGCAGCAGCAGCAGCTCCATGGCAGAGGGGAGCTAATAAATTAAACAGCAATGAGAAATTGCAGAGAGACATTGCAGAATCATGTGGGATCTATTCCCTAGTTGGAATGCTTAGGACCGGCGTTTAAAAGTTATTCAACACAACTTCAAACTTGTGGTTACTTAGAACACCTCTGCCACAAAGCCATTCAAATGTTGGCCATGGTGAGAGAAGGCAGTGGGGGAAGGGGCAGTAAAAGGAGAAGCACATCCTAGCCAGGTAAAAACCACTCAAGGAAAGCAGGGCCATTAGAGGGTTTGGCTGGGTAAGGGAAGTGGTCCGAGAGCCAAATAAAGTGGCTTGGAGGGCCACATTCAATTCCCCAGCCCTAGTCTATAGGATTAGAGGAATAGCTCCTCAACTACTGCTGGAAGGGAGAACATGTAAGCTTTTGGGGCTGAAGAGCCTTTGCCTTTGGCTGTATTACTGTTATCTATTTACCATAGAGTAGATAAATAGGTACCGCTCTGGTGGGAAGGTAAACGGCGTTTCCGTGCGCTGCTCTGGTTTCGCCAGAAGCGGCTTAGTCATGCTGGCCACATGACCCGGAAAAACTGTCTGCAGACAAACCTTGGCTCCCTCGGCCAGTAAAGCGAGATGAGTGCCACAACCCCAGAGTCGTTCGTGACTGGATTTAACTGTCAGAGGTCCTTTATCTTTTTTTAAGCCTCATTGAATTCAATAGGACTTACTTTTGAGTAGATATGCTGTGTATTCACCCCCACTTTGTATTCCTTTCCAGGGCTGGATTTAGGTTTGATGAGGCCCTAAGCTACTGAAGGTAATGGGGCCCTTTAAATGTGATATTTTAGGGAACAGGCTAGCAGGCGGGGCCCATTACTTACATCATAGGAGCCTACACAGCACAAAACACTGTTGCTGTATGTAGGTTTTATTTTATTTGTTTTTTATCTTATATTTTGGAAATGTACATCCAGGTGTTTTTTCCCTTTAATTTTTTGGGGGGCCCTAAGCTATAGCTTCTTTAGCTTATACGTAAATCTGGCACTGCTCCTTTCAAGGAAAGAAGTCAGGGATTGGAATATTTCGTATAATTATCTGTTTTAATCATTCTTGCTCCTTGAAAAGTTATGTGTGGGGTTTTTTTTAGGCTAATATGCAGCACCATCAAAACATGCAAGACATTCTTAAGGCAGGAATCAGCTGGCAGTGGTTCTCCAGGATCACTGGCACAGACATTTCCCAAATCTGCTACAGAAGATCCTTTTCATTGGGATATGGCAGAACTGAAGTGCAACGCAGAGCATCCACTCTGCCTCTGAATGGCCCCTTTCCTCAACAATAACCATTGGGATATTTAAGTTCAAATAAGTCCATTTCAGGATCACACCCTCATTTTTCCCTTTCCGTATGGCCAAGAAGCATTATTAGTTTGGCAACCTAGCAGCCTCCTGGCAAGTGAATGGATTGCTTTCTTGCCATTTGAAATGGGGGGGGGGGCAGAGAGAGTTTGTGCCTACAGTTGCTATGCTCGTGACGTAAGATTCTATCTTGGCACTCCCACGTTTGTTTAAATATCCCATTTTCAATGCTTTCAGCTTGGAAGTATTCAAAGGAAAGAAAATAAAAGAAAGGAGGCCCAAAACAGCCTTTTCCCCCAGCAGGTTCCTCTTCCATTTTTCTATTTTACAGCGAAAGATGGGGTGGGTGGTAAGATAGATGATGACATTATTCATGAAAGGTTCACAGGGGGGAATATTTTCAAAAACAAGTTGTTGGTGTTGGGTAAATAGAGAAGTGATGGGTACTTTTTGGTTTCTATCAGTTCCTCATTTTTCCAATATTGAGTTCAGTTCTCCATATACAGTCATACCTTGGGTTACAGCTGCTTGAGGTTGCGTTTTTTTGGATTGCGGACCGCCGAAACCCGGAAGTACCGGAATGGGTTATTTCTGGGTTTCGGCGGTTGCGCATGCACAGAAGCACTAAATCACGCTTTGTTTATGTGCAGAAGCACCAAATCTCAACCCGCACGTGCGCAGATGTGCAGTCATAGATTGCAAACGCTGCGGGTTGCGAACGTGCATCCTGCATGGATCACGTTCGCAACCCGAGCGTCTACTGCATCTTCATTTGTTTGCATGAATGTTTAGGAAGGAGGACAAGATGTTAAAGAGTCTAGAAGCCAAGCTTCATGAGGAATGATTTAGAGAACTGAGTATGTTTAGCCTGGATAAGACTCAGAGGAAATATGATAGGTATCTTCAAATATTTGAAGGCCTGTCCCATGGCAGATAGAGAAAGCTTGTTTTCTCCTGCTCTGGAGGGGAGGACCTGATCCAATGCATTCAAAGGAGACTCCAACTAAACATTAGGAAGAACTTTCTGATAGTAAGAATGGGCTCCCTCAGAAGGTGGTGGCGTCTCTTTCATTGGGAGTGTTTAATCAAAGGTTGGATGGCCCTATCTATCGCGCATGATTTAGTTGAGATTCCTGCATTGCAAGGGGTTGGACTAGATGACCCTCAGGGTACCTTCCAACTCTACAATTCTATGATTCCATGAGCTATATCTATCTGCTTGTCTATCTATCAACTATCCATCTATCTCTCATGTATCTATCCCAGGTGAAAATTCACCAGCAGGTGAATTTCTCCTAATATGCACCTTTTTTTTGGTATGCAATTTTGCATCATAGACACATTCTTGCACAGCTGTGTCCTCTATTATAATGCATTTCTGCAAATTACTATCACTAGCATACGCATTTATATGCAGGTTTTCCTCCAGCATAAGCATTTTTGTACATATTACTGGACTTGATATGTATGCATTTTTGCCTAATATAAACTTTTGTTTGTTTGTTTTTGCAAAGGAAAATACGATGCATCTTTGGTAGGTTATAGTCACTAATATATGCATCTGTAAGGCACACTTTACCCCAGTGTATGCATTTATGCTATATGGCTGGAGGACTGCTTTGCAAAATTCAGACAGTGCGAAAGATGAGTGTGCTTCAGTTCACATATTGTTTCACGAAGTGCAAATGAGGTAAGTCCACATTTAAATGAAAACTTAATTGAATTTCTCTGCCATTCCTAACCATATGGCATTTCTGGATGCACAGTTCAACACTCGGTTTTTATTGCTTTGCAGTTCTACTCTCTTAAGGTCAAAAGGTGCACAGGAATTCAGGTGTGGTGTTACCAGCACCAGGCAACGCGGTAATACAATCTCTCCCCTGACTGGATAAGCAATCACTTACTCTACTCAGTTTAGCTGGGGGAAAAAGAATTGGCTTCCTTCCTAATTGCCTCTTTACTGTGAAGTCAGTCAGGGCCTACTCTTGTTTCAACATAATAATCAATGGGTAGAGTTGCCTCTAGGCAGGATCCCTCCCTCTGCAGTGCTTTCTTGCCTTCTAAAATGTCCCCTGCCCAGATTTTCAGTGACCTGATGCTCTCAAACTTTGTCCTTATCTTACCCTACTAATGCTGCAATCCTGAACACACTTTGTAGGGAATAGGTCTCATCAAGCTCAACATGAATTATTGTTGCATGAACGTGCATTGGAATGTTCTGTTAAGTGCCACTGAATTTAGCAATATTTCCTTCAGAGTAAATATGCCGAGGGCTGTGCATATACTGAGATACTAGGGAGAAATTTTTTGAACCAACAAAAAAAGCTGCCTTATGGTGAAACCTATACCCACTTCATTCCAGACTCTCTCTCTCTCTCTCTCTCTCTCTCTCTCTCTCTCTCTGTGTGTGTGTGTGTGTGTGTGGTGGATTGAGCAAAGGTGGTAATCTCCATTGTCTCTGCAATCCAAGCCACCTTTGTACTGGACTGCAGTGGTGACTTAAAGGTAAAGGGACCCCTGACCGTTAGGTCCAGTCGCGGACGACTCTGGGGTTGTGGTGCTCATCTCGCTTTACTGGCCGAGGGAGCCGGTGTTTGTCTGCAGACAGCTTCCGGGTCATGTGGCCAGCATGACTAAGCCGCTTTTGGTGAACCAGAGCAGCGCACGGAAACGCTGTTTACCTTCCCGCCGGAGCGGTACTTGTTTATCTACTTGCACTTTGATGTGTTTACGAACTGCTAGGTGGTGACTTAGAGTTGCCATATTTCAAACAGTAAAAACCAGGACACCCCAAAAGTTGCTGAGCTTCTTTTAAGAAGACACCTAAATTGTTGATTGTTCCCCCCCCCCCAAAAAAAAGCCAAAAAAAGGCACTTTTGACTACCACCTGCAGAACTGATGCCAAGGTCACTCTACAAATGCAGGCCTCTTTCTTTTGAAGGTCTGCTTGGACTTTTGGAAGATCAGAGCCGATAGCGAGCCCCTTTGAAATATATTACACAAACCAAACCAGAGTTATCCTTTGAAGTTTGCCCTTCTCTGAATTTTGCAACGCAGTGCTCC